TTTGGATTCCTGGCAGAATCCAGATTTTTTAAAAAAGGTTATAAAATGTTTTATGTACATATATATATGTATATGTATATGTATATATGAGTTCATGTGTGTATGTATTTATGTGTGTGTGTATGTATGTATGTATGTGTGTGTATGTATGTATGCATGTGTGTATGCATGTATGTGTGTGTATGTATGTGTGTGCATGTATACATGTATGTATGTGTGCATGTGTTTATGTATGTGTGTGTATGTATGTGTGTGTATGTATACATGTGTGTATGTGTGTATGTGTTTATGTATGTGTGTGTATGTATGTGTGTGTGTATGTATGTGTGTATGTATGTATGTATGTATGTATACTATGTGCATGCCTTGTATCCATGGAGGCCAGAACAGGGCGTTGTGAGCCACCCAGTGTGGTGCTGGGAACTAAACCTGGGTCTTTGTGTGTTCTATATGAGCAGCAAACACTCTAACTGCTGAGCCATCTCTCCAGCCCCAGAACTGAGGCTCTTGCCATTGGAAGACTGAGATCTCTTCTCCGTGACACACTGCCTTCATCTTTAAGCCAACAAGGCCCTGCCACTCTTTCGATCTCTAATTTCCCTGCTGATCCCAGCAAAAGGTCTCTGCTGTTAAGGGCTTGTGGGACTCCGGTGAGCCCACACAGATCTTAATTTAAGGTCAGCTAATTAGCACCTCAATTACATGGGCAAAATCTCTTTTGCCAGGAAATGGCATTCCTGGGAGTAGCATTCTGGAGCAGAGGTCTTCGGAGCTGAAACTCTTCCTGCCATTCCTAGTCTGGTAAAAACTGACTCAGGCAAACATTTGGTAGCCTTGGGAGAATCTTCTGGCCCCAACAAGAAGTTATCAGACATGTGAGATTTATGAGTTGACCAAGACCAGAGTTGTGTGTGTGGGAGCAGGTAGCCTCGTTGCTAACACAGCATCTTGGGCAGATGGGTAACGTTGCTAAGCAAACAAGTATGAAAAAGCTCATCGTTCTTAGTATTGATTCCAACAAGCTCTGTGCTATGATTATTGTTAGATGGGGAAACAAGGAACCTCCTCTCGATATGTATTCAAACTAGAAATGGCTCAGGAATGAGGGCAGAAGAACTCCAAGCTGCTGTATCTATACATTGCTTCTCTGAAGAGAGTGAGGCGCCCTCAGCTGCCTAGTGGGGTAGTTAGCTCAGGACCCCAAGGAACACAAAGTTGGGAGCTTTCTTCTCCAGCATCGCCTAACTTCTTTTCTTCCTCTTTCTCCCTTCTTTTTTTCTTGACTGCCCCCGAAATTAATGCAATCCTATCTATCTATGTATCTATCTATCTATCTATCTATCTATCTATCAGTTTTTCATGAACCTCAGACTAACCTTAAACTCCTGATGTAGCAAGTCCCCAGCCAAGTTCTGGATTACAGATGAGTACCACCACGCTCAGTCAATACAGCATTGGGGCTTCAACCCAAGGCCTCTTGCATGTCAGGACTTTGCCAAATGAGTTATACCTCTAGTTCCTAAATCAAATGAAAGTGTGAAAGTTGAATTCTCTCAGTTATCTACAGGTTACAATCTAAACTCCCCAAGACACTGAGGGTTCTACCTTCTCTTTCCCCCAGCCTCGAGTCCTCTTTAGTCAGCTGGGGCAAGGGATGCAGTTGGAGAAAAGGACTGGCTTATTTCTCTCTCTTTCCTGATTCCTCGCCTGAATTTGTTCTGATCTGAACCATCCGTTGTCTTCATTGGCTCTCATTGATCCTGTGGGTTGATCAGGCCCTAAGTGCTATCTCCTATACAGGTCATTGAATGGTGCCCTAACTCATGGCCTGTGAGGTCTGAGGCCGGAGTTTCTGTATGAGGCAGTCCAGGGAAGATGCAAATACCTGTTCTGTCCCTATAATGACCACTTACAGGGATGATGTGGATAAGTGGGGAAGAAAGGAGATGCAGAATAATGTACAAACTGAGGGAGACAGGCTGGGTGGGATGATACTGCTCTATCGTCCTGGCTCCTCTTCTCAGGAGGCTGAAGCTGGAGGACTGTTTCAAGCCCAGTCCAGGCAACTTAGAAAGACTCTGGCTCAAAGCAAAGCCTAAAAGAGGGCCCTAGTGGTGTAGCTCAATGGTATGGCACTTACCTAGCGTGTACAAACCCCAAATACTGCACAAGAAAAAAAGGAGAAAGATGTGCAGATGCTGCGGGGAGTCACAGGCTCCCCAGCACTTACCCTGTCCTCATGAAATCCAGACAGGAGCCAAGAGCAGACCACAGTGAAGCAAATGGCAAGTCCGTGCCCTCCGATCAGCATACAGACAAACAAACAAGATGATGAATTCGATAGAGACCAACACGATGTCATCTAAAAGTCCACACTAGAGAACCACTCCCCTCCCCAAATCACAAAGTGATCTTATAATGCTTTAAGTACGCCTATGATTTGATGTTAGGCTTCATTCATAGCTATCGAGGACTGTCTGGGGGCCTCGGAATCACCAGAGGACATATCTGTTTAGACAGTGAGTGGGACTGGGTACCACCGGTGTGAACCCTGATTGTCAGGCGAGTTGGAAACCTGTTCCCAGCAAAGGAAGCAGCAAGTGCGTTAACCCAGAGGCAGGAAGGCAATGCTTTTTATTTTAGCGATTTAAAGGAGACTGGGGAGACATGATTTGAGCAGCGAGAGGAGAGAACTCAGGCATCCTGAAAAGTGGGTCTCTCACCGTGAAGAGCAGTAAGAACATTATCCCAACCTTGTGAATAACATAGAGAAGTGGTTCTGTGACTCTTTCTGATAGTACCAGAGTGTTTTCTAACTGCCCTGCTGGAGGGTCATCCATTTGACTGGAGGGATAGTTGCACTACAGTCACCTGGGGCCCAGAGTTTTACAGGTCTCAACAACTGGTACCTCACACTTGTTTTCAATAATTTTCTTGTCTAAAATGTTCTAGCTTTTTAAAAATAATTATAAAATTATTTTATGTGTATGTATATATTTTGTGTATATTATTTTACTTGCAAAAAAAATGTTCGTGTACCATGTGCATGCTGGTGCCTGTGGAGGCCAAAGGACAGTGTTGGATGCCCTGAAACTGGAGTTACAGACAGCTATGAGCTGCTCTGTGGCTGCTGGGAATTGAACCCAGGTCCTCTGAAAGAACAACCAGTGATCTTAAGCCATGTGTCATGACAGTGATCCACTGTCATGAGGAGTGGTTTTTGTTTTTGTTTTTTTTCCTCCTTTTGGGGTTTTCACTCTGATAGGCCCCTCCTCTTTCAGAGCAGGCCTGGCAGAGAGAGGAGGAGGAGAAAGATCACTGGTTTTCAGGGGGCACTGAGACAGCTGTAGTGGTGGATTTGCTGAGCTCCAGGCTGGGGAGGAGGCAGCTCCTCTGTTCAGGAGAGCTGACCACTGGCTGGGAGGCAAAGGTAGAAGGGAAGAGTGAGGCAGGAGGATTCCTGTCACTCGGGAGTGTTTTTATTCTAGTCTCATCCTCACTGGGGTTCCTGGTATGTTTCCTTGGTCAGGGTTTCGTTCTAGTCCTGGACAGAGCTGTGCCCTCAGGACCAGCTCTGGGCTGAGGGTCAAGTGTGAAGTGTTTGCTATTGACTTCTTTTGAGATCTTTGGCATCTTTTCTCTTCCTCCACCCCACCCCCACTACTGTGACAAATGTACATCACATCCAGTTACCATCTTGAACATCCTTCTAGCGTCTTGTGACATTCGAATTCACACTGTTACAGCATCCCTCCCTCAGTGTCCACACCTTTGCCATAATCCCACATCAAAGCCCTCACTCTCCTGAGCAGCGACCCACACTTCCGTCTCTCTCGCCACACCCCTCACAACCACAATCGCCGTTCCTTGCCTCTGTGAATTTGCTCTCTCAGGGTGCTTCACATCAATGGAATCATACAGTAACGGGCCTGTCAGAAATGAAGACATTTTTAAAGAGACACGTTTATTCCTCAATCTGACTATTAGACTATTGAAACAATGGACCCCAAAGTAATTTGACATCCCACGTTCTCCCTAGAAATCTCCTGCTGGGAGGGGGAAAGACTGAGCTTGGTCGTAACTATAGGAGAAGCTTGTCTCCAGAAAAGAGATTTCACAGTTTTAGCAACTTGTTAGACCACCTTCCAAAGTAAAACGGAAGCCTGGACAAGGATGGGTCAATGACGGACAGGACCACAACTTGACCAGACTGCTCAGAAGTGCATAGCCCCAGTGCCCTGTTAAACCTTTAATCTCACTTCAGGACTCCGACCATGAACTAACCCTTTTGTCCTCTCCCAGTGTCCCGAATCATTTGGCTCTATCATGCATCAGAATTTCTTCCCTCTTTAAGACTGCATACTCTTCCAATGCATGTACATCCAACCGTTTGCTTGTCCTTCATTTGCTGGCAGACTCGGGATATTTCTACCTTTGTGCTGTTGTGACTGGTACTGCTCTGAACATAGAGTACAGATATCTCTTAATCTGTGCTCTCGGTTCTTCAGGGTTTCAATCTAGACATAGAGTTCTTGTACCACATGGTAATTCTTCGCTGACTTTTTAGGGCAGACATACTGTTCACTTCAATGTAATTGTCTTGTATCACCACCAAGAGTGTACAAGGCTTGCAGTCTCTTTACACCCTGCCAACACTTGTCCTGGTCTGTTTTCACAACAGCCAGAATGTGGCCTCATTTTTTTAAATGTAATTAACTGTAGAACGGAGGCTTGGGGACAGATGTGGCTCTCCTCTGTGTGTGCTGCAGAGATGGCTGAGGGGCTGCATTTGGAGGGCACTTAGGGTCTGGAATATAAGACCGAAGACTTCCCTAAGCTTATGGCCAGGGCTTGTGGCTGTGTGGAGAGGCCCAAGACAGGGCAAACTGAAGTTTATCTGGGGGTTTTCCATGATGGCAAGTTGATTGTATGGTCCTGCTCTTGCCCCAGGGCAATCCACGTCTAATTTAGGCATTGCTCTTTCTGTGTCCTCTCCCCAGTGTGACAATGCAAAGGGACTGAAAGCCTTCTATGACGCAATAAAGTATGGGCCGAACCATTTGATGGTGTTTGGAGGCGTCTGTCCGTCTGTCACATCTATCATCGCGGAGTCCCTCCAAGGCTGGAATCTGGTGCAGGTAAGGGTGGAGTCCTACCCCGACATGGAATTGTCTTTGTGGGCTGCAAGCACTTAGCAGGAACGTGGTGCCTAAGCTGCACTACCACCAGTGTCCTCGCTGCTGGCCTGACCGCGGGCCTGTTCATCTAGTGAACGTACTAAGAGTCCTTAAACTGTCCATGCTGTCTCGTGTTGAAGGCTCGGTGCTCACTGCTGATTCCTTAGCCAGACCTTGAGTCCCATAAAAACCTATCAACTGTCCAGATGATCCTCTGCTCCTCTGTTCTCGTCACCGACCCACGGCACGGCCCCCAGAGAGCAGCACCCTAAGATAATATAGCCCCCATTGCCTTCAGGTAATACCACCATCCCCCAGACAGCAATAGCCTCTCAGGAACCCAGGGCTGCCTCAGAGCCCACCCACTGCACTGTGTGTCAGGTGCTCCTTTCCTTTCCTTTCCCTTCCCTTCCCTTCCTTTCCTTTCCTTTCCTTTCCAGATCTTCTTTCTCGCCGAAGGTCTCCTTTGTCCAAGGCTGTCCTTTCCCTCATTAAGCTGATCCTAGGCTCCTGGCCAGGTATTGGCTTTTGACCACAGCTGACTTTTACACGGTCAGATGCTTCAGTGGGCGTATAGCTGGTTGTAGATGAGGCTCAACAGTAAGAGCTGCTACTTGAAATGGGAAAGAAAAGTATAGAAACATATGACCACAAGGATGAGTGTAGTAACCCATGTACATTCTGTCATCCATCTATCCATCTATCCATCCATCTGTCTGTCCATCTGTCCATCCATTGGTCCATCCATCCGTCTGTTCGTCTGTCGGTCCATTCATCCATTCTTCCATCCAACCATCATCTATTTACCCCTCCATCCATCATTGTTTACCATTCTATTCAGCATCTATCCACCCGTCATCCATCCAGCTACCCATCCATCTGTCTTTCCAGTCATCTACTGCCCATCTACCCCTTCACCTATTATTGTCTTCCTTCCTTCCTTCCTTCCTTCCTTCCTTCCTTCCTTCCTTCCTTCCTTTCTTCCTTCCAATCAACCAAAAAAAAAATCGGAGCAACTTCCTTTCTGCCTGGAACTCTGGTAAACACTGGAGACGTAGAACTGAAGGGCAGAAATGGTTTCCATCATGTCAGAGCTTGCATACTGGAAAGAGGCCAGGCAGTAAACAAGGAAGTAGCAGTAATCCTCAGGATGGTCCCTGAAGCCTGCCAGGCACCAGGCACTGTCGTAAACCCTAATGTGAATTAACTCAGTCTTTGTTACTGGTCTGTTATCATCCCTATTTTATATATAAGGAAGCTGGGGCACACACGGGCTATAAAGCTTGCCTAAGGATTCACAACTAATAAGCAGTAAGGCCAGATTTAAATTCAACTAGCCCTTGCAATGAGGTTTTTGTAAGAAGACAGGGCTGTGTTCAAAATAATCAGGGGTGTGGGATTAAATAGAGGCTATGTGGGCATTCAGCAAAGGCCTCTGGGAGATGGGAACACTTGATCTGAGATCTGAAGGGTGGGAAGAGGCTGCTGGGTGAAGTGCAGCCCTGTGAGTGAACAGAATGACCAATTTAGACAGGCAGCTGGTAATGAGGAAGGAAGAGTCTACATGTCTAGTGGCAGAATTCAAGGCTGTGGGCTGGGGCTGAGAAGTCAGGACAGTGATAGAGTACCAACAGGGACCTTCCCTGAGTTCAGGTCATGGCAGAGGTGTGGTACAGGACCAGTACCCCACTGAGCCTGGCCTACACGAGCTCTCCTGGTGTGGGGCACAGAGTTACTGCTGAAACAGGAGAGGGGCCGGGCAGGTGGGATGCAGAGGCTAGCAGTGAGAAAAGAATGCAGTGTTAAGAGATGGAGATCTGGGTGGGCGTGGGCAGCGGGGATCCTTCACGCCGCTGAGGCAGGTTACAGTGTGAGTTTGTTCAACAGAAGGGGCTAGAGAGCAGGGAACATCACGCCGGGATGCTGGCACAGGGCAGAGTGTGTGTGAGCCTGGCTTTAAGCCCTCAAGGTGTCCCTAGCTGTTGCAAGACCTTGGCCCAGTCCCTCGCCTTCTCTGGATTTGAGTTCCTTCTTGATAGTGGGAGGTTCCATAAACACGGAGCCAAGGGCAGATAGACTGAAGAACAAAGCCTCCATGGAGAGCCATGGTCAGTGTGGCCTTGGCTGTAGGGCTGAGTGAGATCTGCAAGCCACTTCTGTGTCCCCCTCCCTCAGCAGATATGCTATGTCTGTGACCAGCATCTTGGGTGCCACGCAAGGCCAGCCCACTACTTCCCTGCTTGTGCTTCCTTCCAGATCCCAGGGCCAGATCGAGGGCTCCAGTGAGATGAAAATGTGAAGGGTCCCAGAGACCTGGAAAGTGGGCAGTGCTAGATGGATCTGAGTAATCTGATGATTTGAGAGGCAATGTGGTAGACAAAGCCCAAGGGAGCCGTTCTCCTCTAGCCTTGCAGAGTCTGAATGTGGGAAGAAAGAGAGATCTGGATCCTGGTGGGAGTGGCCTGCCAGCCTGGAAACCTGCCCCCCTCCTTCACTTACAGGAACTGTACATCCATTTGTTATGATCTAAGCTATGGTTCTCCCAAGCTGCTGCTTCCCCTGTCTGGGGGCTGAGCTCACCCACAAAGGGTGGGTGGGTCTGCAGCTGCTGAAGGATTTGAATGCCTTGACTTCTTTCAGAACTGGGTTCTAGAGTGTTAGCTGCATGAGGAGGCCTGACTGTCCCATGAAGGTGTGGGGATGCATGCTGGACAGAGACCCACCTGGAGTGCTGGAATGAGAATGGGCTGTTTCTGTTTCCTGGGCCACAAAAATAGGGATTCGCCTGCCGCCGGGTGAAAATGCATGCTGGTGCTGAAACAGGTTAATTTTAACTTTTGCTTTTTGCTGTGTTTCTTGAATCAGGCCTGCTGCGAGGGAGGCTCACACTGTCCTGATCTGAGTCACTCAGCCACTGGGAGCCTAAATCCCCACAGCTCAGGGTGAGGACCAGGGAAGGGTCACTTTATTCCTATCCCATCCCAGGGAGATCCTGGGCAGGATACAGGACTCGAATCTGACCATCACAAAGGAAGAGATCAACTAGGGTACAACCAAGAAGGTGCTAGCTGGTCATCAAAGCGAGCGTGTTGGGACTGTAGAGGTGGGGTTTGGGTCTCTGGAGCGGCATGCCTGTCTGAGAACTTCATGATGATCTGTGGTACAAGTGTGAGAGGCAGGAGGCATGGTGGAAGTTAGAGGGTATAGGTCTTCAACTCCTGCAGGCAATCTGTGGCTGTGAAATCGTAGAGCTTGCTAAAGGTCCTTCTCTGGGAGAGATGTGAACAGCTACCTCCTCCTAAAGACCTGATGACAAACCAAAGTGCAATGCCACCCCAGCCCACCCCAGGGAACCAATGAGTTTATTGGAATTGTGTGAGAGAGGTTACCTCTCACACAGCCTCGTTCTAAGTTCCTCACTCAGCATGGATGGCGGCTTCCTTGTAGCCACACAGATGGAGCCTCCTTCCCCTCATCTTCCCCAGCTCATAAATGATCGTGCCATCCCTAGACCATGAGGATAGTGCGGTACCACACCCTAGTTGCCCAAGAAGCCTTGAGCATTGCGATGTCAGCTAAGGTCTGCTCTGGGGAGACTGACCATGGATCAGACTGATGGCTTGCAGCCCCTGTGTGGGGTGGGGTAGGGACATGTTTATTTTAAGGGAGCAAACTCTGGGGTTCCAGGAAGTGCAGGACCAGGTTAGAGGATTCATGAACTCTCTCAGTGACCCACTTTTCACCCTGGGCCAGTCCGGTGGCAGCAGCTCAGGTGACTGCTCTGCACGTGATCCTGCAGACTTGGTGGCCAGGTGCTCATTACGATCACTCACTCATCTCCTGGGACCCTTAGTGAATGCAGCATTAGCCACTGCTGCATGGGTGTGTGGAGGAGGGCCTGAGGGCATTGTAAGAGACAGCTGTTGGCCACAGAGACCTGTGTCACCAAGGTAAAGCCCCACTGAATGGTGTGGCAAGGACATTTCTCCAGCCTACCTTCTGGCCTCAGAACATGCTGCTCCCTTAGCCTGAAGGGTCCCTTTGCTCATCCTTCATGGGTACATCTTAGAGGCTTCTTCCACTGGGAAGCTGCACCCCTACCCGTCATGTTCTCTTCCTTGTGGTCTCTTCATAGGCATTTACTGCTTTTTGTCCCCCACTACTCTGTATCTTACAGAGGTCAGAGCCTTTCTCTCCTGAACTGTAGACCCCGGCACAGCCTGACACTCGTTCCCCCGTCTCACCAGCCCTCAGATAACTCAAGCATCTTCAACCGTAGGGCTTGCCAACCAGATGCAAAGGACACCTGAGGTGGGCTCTGGCTCTGCCACAGCCATCTCCATCCCCTAACCTGCTGAGTTTTAATCACCTGGTTCACCTGAGTGGACCTTCAGAGGTCATCCTCAGAATCCCACATCCCACTGTACTGACAAAGATCTACCCTTCCCAAAGACACGCGCGTGCACACACACACACACACACACACACACACACACCAGCTTTGTCTGTCCCTCTGAAGCTTGTGCTGAGGAGAGGAAGGAGAATTGGAAGCAGGGCAGGGAAGATGAAGATAGCATAGCATGACCAAGATATGGAGGCAGAGCCAGGCAGAGGTGGTCTCAGAGTAGGACAGACCTCCTGAGCCTCAGCAGCAGGCTGCTTCAGCTTACAAGTTGCTGCTGCCACAGATGTGATTGCAAACTGCTATAGTGAGGAGGATGAAAATAAGGTCAGATTCCTGTCAGGCTGAAGGGCGGCTCATGAGAACAGCAAACACCAGCTCCCTAAGAACTGCATCCAACAGAGTTTGTCCTTTAAAAGGCTCTGAGGTAAATTGTTAACTCTTAGATGCCTTTTTTCCAGGCACCCCTAAGGTATTCCCACAGCCCACCCTGCCTCCTGGTCAGCCTTGGCACACCCCTGAGGAGCTCCTTGGCCAGCAAAGATCTCACTGCCATTGG